CATTAGAGCAATTTTTAAATTGCTTAAGAAACATAATTTTTAGTTAAAAGGTAAAGTTGATTTTACAATTCCAACAAAATGTCAGAATGAGTAGTATGTAGTTTCTGCTTGTTTATTTTTCCATCTGTTCATGGCATTTCTGGCAATAAGGAATGTCTTCTAGTCTGGTTAAAATTCTGTCCTGTAGCTGGTTAAATCCGGTTCTGCCACCACAGAGTAGAGGCAGGAGTTTTTTCTAAAAAGAATTGACTACTTCTCATGATCTTAAGGGAACCGTTTATTCATCTGTTTGATTTTAAATGCCGCTGAAATTTATACTCCAAGAAATGTAAATGAATGTAATGAATCGCCAAAAAAAAGATCCACAAAATACTCTTTGCAGTGACTGAAATTAAATCCAAAGTAAGTCTGTACATTTTGGATACGATCAATTGATTTAAATAAAAAATTGACACCCACCGAATGGCTAAACGAGTGAATGAACGAATTTTGCTTTGTGTGACTTATCCCTCTGAGCTGACCCGACTGGGTCCTGATGGTGTTCAACTCTCTCGCGGGTTTTGATCCCCGGTTGAGTGTGAATGCTCTCAGGGCCTGGGGCAGAGTGGCTCAGACTGACGTGACATTCTGCCATTGGGCCTGTCACTTTATATGAACGCATGTGACGGACTTCCCTTTCCTGATGACGTAACAGAGAGAAACCCGAGGGAACAGAGCAAGAATTCAACATAGGGAATTCTCATCTGCGTCGCGCTGGGTTGTGCTTCAGAAACAGACAAAATCTCAGTGCATTAGACCACAGAGATTTAGTCCCTTGCTTCGTGACCCACGTCCAGCAATCGTTAGCTGGGGAACAGTGCTCTTTGTGGTCACCGAGTCCCCACGGTGATGACGTTTGCTTCCACCATCACTGCCGTAGGGGAAAGGAACGTCACACGTTGCACGTTGTTCATGAAGGCTTCTGCCCAACTTCCCATTGGAGAAATGAATGTCGGCCATTGCTTAGAAGGAGAAGAAGTGGGATATTTGAGAACAGCCTTTGTGACCATAGCACACCCCATTCATGCATCCACCTTAATGATCATGAGACTTGGGAGCAATAAAAAAAAAAAAAAAATCCCTCCTCTTAAAGAACCCCTCGGGGGGGGCCCCCCCCCCCCCCAGCCCCCTGCTGATACTACAAACCGTCCACTGGATCCATAAAAAATCCCTTTTGAGAAAGTAGCTTACCTGGCCAATTGTTAGGGGTGGAAGAGCGGTCGAAGTCCTAACCCCAACAGCATAAAAATATGACCTCATCTGGAAATAGGGCCTTTTTGCAGGCTAAGACGAGGCCATTCAAGTGGGCCCCGAATCAATATGCTTGGTGTCTTTATAAAAAAGGGAAATTGGGACACAAGTAGGGAGAATGTCACGTCAAGGAAGGCAGAGGGCAGGGTGACGAAACAGAAGCTAAGGAACGCCAAAAACAGACTGGCGGCAAACCTCCGGGAGCCGGGGGGCACCGTGGAACCGATGCTCCTTCACGTCTGTCCGCAGGACCAGCCCTGCTGACACGTGGAGGTCAGACTTCCAGCCTCTGTAACTGTGAGACCAGAAGTTTCTGTTGTCGAAGCTTCGCAAGCTGTGATACTTCAACCTTAACGAACTCATCCATGCGTCAGCATACTTTTTAGCATTTTTCCCGGTCCTGGCAAGCACCGCTACTGGGGAAATCAAACCAAGGGCCCCGTCGGGGGAATTTGGGTCCTAGCCAAGATGAAGTCTAACGCTGCTTGCAGAGAAATTCTGTTGGAGTAATCTCCTCGGTTCCCCTCCCCCCACTGCCCCCCACCTCATCTGGAAGTAGCTTTCAGCAAATGTTTCTCATGTCCCAGCCCTGGATATGAAGGGTAAAACATGTTAGTGTAAACTTAGCATTAGCAAGAAGATGAATTCAGGGACTGGAGGAAAAATCTGAATGATCTGTCTGTAGTATATACTGCTGCAGGTGGTTATCCAGGAGAAAATGTTTTGGTGGGGTAAAAAGCCTTGGGGACCGGAGCTGGTTTTACCAGTGATGGGGGAGGAAGAACTGGACGTGGGTGAAAGTGCTGGCAGCTTCCATCAGTGCTTGCCCCTTGTGGCAACATCTGGTCTTCGGGGCAGGCTGATTTTGCCTCAGCCGTTATTCTCAGGAAAGATGTTTTGCCAAGCACTTAATTTCCTTACTCTGAAAAACTTTTGTGTAATTGATGCTTACAAGTTAAACCATGTGGCTAACCTGTATGTCTGGATATCTTGTTAAGTATACACCTGCTTTTTCACTATTGCCGTAGAGAAGGACGCTCTGGACGCCTGCAGGCCTCCCGTCGGCGGAGCTGCAGGTTACACGCAACCAGATGGGGAGCTGGTGCCTGCCGCATGACTGGGTACCAGGCTGTTCACTTCTAGGTGCTGGTGACCTCTCGTGCTCTTGCATGTGTGTGTTCTCGTGGGGCATTCTTGTGCTTGCTTTCCTCTCTCTGCACACAGCACATCTGCACCCAGTCTGTCCCTGGAATGCATGCTAACGTCTTTCAGGGTCAGGATCCACGGGATATTAAAAATTCTGAGTAGATGCTTTAAGCAAAGGATTGCTTAATTGGACAGCGCCAGAGAAGGAGGTGCGAAGTGCTTACCAAGCTGTCCCGTTTTCCCCAGATGAAGTTCTCCCCTTCCTCTTGCCTGTGAACACCAGACTTGTGTGTCTTCCTATCATATGCTTCTGGTGCTGGGGCCTCCTGGCTGGTGGTAAAGTGGTTTGTGTCTCCAGTAAATGGATCACGCTGGCGATCACTGGGAAGTCAACTCAGCAGTGAAATGCTGTACCCAGGAGTGTTTTGAAGAACACAAACTCCACGTGAACCTGTGTTCTTGATGCCCTTTTGTCCACAGATTGGGTGTGCTGTGAAATTGAACATCTCAAAATGGTAGAATTCTTACTCGAGTCCAGATGCATTCTGATGGTCTGGTAAAACTTGGTATTTATTTATTTTACTGGGTCTTTTTTTTTTTTTAAGACACTTCATATCTAATTATTTTTGTAGAACCATCATAATAAGTACATTTTAAAGTTAGTAAACACTTGGGGCGCCTGGGTGGCTCAGTCAGTTAAGTGTTTATGACTTCAGCTCAGGTCATGATCTCACGGTCTTGAGATCGAGCCCCGCATCGGGCTCTGTGCTGACAGCTCAGAGCCTGGAGCCTGCTTCGGATTCTGTCTCCCTCTCTCGCTGCTCCTCCCCGACTCATACTCTGTCTGTGTCTCTCAAAAATGAGTAAAGGTCAAAAACAAAAAATTTAAGTTTGTAAACACTGTTCTATTGGTTAATTCTTTAACTGTTTTAGAGTTAATGAGTTAAAAGTCAGTAAATTCTGATCTATTTTGTGGATACATGAGCTATCCTGACATTATACGCCACCCAAACTGTTGAAATGCTGTATTTGTTCTAATTAGCTTAATACTTGAGACTTTCTTAATGGCCACCGACGACGTAGAAATATACAGCAAGAGTACTTGTTGAAGATTTTCTTCTCCAGGGGTCAAATACGTGCTACACATTGGTTCATCTTGTGCTGAAAGAGTGGTAATAACAGCAGTTGAACTCATTGGAGGGGAGAGCATTATAGGCAAACATAATTATCCTCCTTTTCACAACTTAATGGGAAAGCATCTCTTGGTTGTAATGTTGCAGAGACTGACTTCCAAGTTTCCGAGATTTAGCAGGCTAAATGATGACCGAAAGAATTCAGTGGGCCACTTCTTTTTACTTTGGGATCTTTTATAGTCTCTCTTGATGGCAAAAAGGAGAATTGATCTGCACATTGGTCTGTGGCTAGGTGGTTTTCAACACGAAAACTTGGCAAGCGCTCTGATGGGCTCTTCCTCATTCTACCGACTCAATCAGGGCATTGTAACATAGTCACTTAGGGCAGGGAAAGTGACAAGGACAATTTAATTCAGGGATTGTAAAATCTCTTTTTAAAAAAAGCTTTTTTTAATGTTTGTTTATTTTTGAGAAGGAGAGCAAGGGGGCGGGGGCAGAGAGAGGGAGACACAGAATCCGAAGCAGGCTCCAGGCTCCGAGCTGTGGGCACGGGGCCTGACATGGGGCTGGAACCCATGAGCAGTGAGATCATGACCTGAGCCAAAGTCGGACACTTAACCAACTGAGCCACCTAGGCAACCCTGGAAAATCTCTTTGCTTTGAGAAATAACGGACTTGCTATCCTTTTGTTGTTGGTGGTTTGTTTTTTTAAATCTATTTTGAGAGAGAGGCAGAGAGAGAATCCCAAGCAGGCTCCTCACTGTCAGCACAGAGCCCAACATGTGGGGCTTGAACTCGAGAACCTTGAGATCATGACCTGAGCTGAAATCAAGAGTCGGACACAACTGACTGAGCCACCCAGGTGCCCCCGGACTTGGTATCCTTACACTGGTAACAGATTTCCTCGGGGTATCGTAATGCTGTTTGGAAGTAGATCTCAAGTGTCTTCACGTATTTCTTTTTGTACAACATCAGGACTGCCATTGGGCACGAAATCATCCCCCTTTGTTGAGGGGGAACGTGTACTTCTGCTCCCTCGTGTCCTTTTCCACGGAGAGGATTATTATGTATCAAGGGTTATGGAATCTTTTTCTCTCCTTTCGCCAGATACCCCTTGGCTTTATCGTGGCCTTGGGTTCCTATTTTTAATTTGTTCCATTATATAACCAACAAGTAGAGCCATACCCAAGTAGCACTGTACGTACCCACAGGTGGAGAGTTTTACTGCAGCCGTAATGAGCAGGTCCTCATGGCGTTCTTACTTTCTATTAATATTCTGCAGCGTTATTATTTAGTTGAAGGAATGGACCCTGTGCTCAGGAAATGGATGTGCTATCTGAAAAGATAAGGCTTGCATACCAAACCTGACAAAATCTGTATTCGTTTTTGGAATTCTACCAAAATTAAAGTCTGTAGGTATGTGTGTGCCTGTGTTGGAAAACAGTGTGTTAAGACCTATCCTGTAAACGTTTTGCCTTAATGATGAGAGTAAATACTGCCCTTGTATCCAATCCCAACCCTCTTGTTTACTTCAAATAAATAAGGAAAAAATATAAAATCCCAGCTCATATTACAGTAAATTACCAGAGCTTTATACAGTTTTCCTGATAGCTGTAAGGTTTGAGGTGTGTGTGTGTGTGTGTGTGTGTGTGTGTGTGTGTTTAAGTTTATTTGGAGAGAGCGCGCACACAAGCAGGGTTTGACGGGGAGAGAGAATCCCCCTCACAAACTGTGAGGTCATGAGCTAAGCCCAAAGTCAAGAGTCAGACACAACCAACTGAGCCACCCAGGAACCCCTTGATACTTTGAGTTTATACTGATTTCGTGTTTTCCTTTTCCAGTAAGCCTATGAACGTGACTTCACAATCTGATAGTAATAGCGTTTCTTTGTAATGTTTGGTCATAGGCAGAAGTATTTTCAATATTTTCAATTTAAGAGAAGTCATAAGATGGCATGGTCATTTTGGTGAACTCCAGTTAACTTTCTTCTGGTTGGAGCCATTGACACATTTCCATTTTCATTATTACCCACATCACGAAGGAAGGAAGTCTGTAAATGGAAAGAGTGTTGATGAAGATGCCCAGTAACTTTCTGGGTTCCATGCTGGTTCTTTCTGGTCTTTTCTTCGCCTCGTTTTTACCCATGGATCCAGCATCATGTCTCTTGGTACCTGCTGCCGTGTATTGAAGATAACAGGCAGTAAATACTTGCTGACTGACTGAATGAACAAAATCCGCCTGAGACTCTTAACAGGAAAAGGCAGCCCTTACTCCTATGTCTGTTTCAGGAAAATGGCCTTTTAGATCATCAAGTTTTTCCCTGAATGCCTCAACTTTGCCACATTCTAGGAGTTACTAGAAGTTGTTACTTTTGTTGTCAGAAGGGTTGGGGGTGGGAGGACCTCCTTAGATAAATGATGTTCACTGTTCTAAATTGTCTGTTAGGATTGTTGGAAAATACACAAAAATCCACCAGGCAAATTGACATCTTTTGCCTTGTCAATTTCCCTAACATTGGGTTACTTCCCATGCCCTCAGTCTTCTCCTGAGGCCAGGCTCTGATACTGCTCAATTAAGGTAGAAAGAAATCAATCCTGGAGGTGACCTATGAAATCCATACAATAAATAGTCAACTCTCATTCAGTCATGCTGGAAGTTTCTAACATCCGTCTAGGAGAAATTTTAGATTAGTCCGGTTAGTAAAATGGACTTTCCCACTCTAAAACACGGATCTTAAAACCTGTCCTCTTGTTTTCATATGATTTTTTTTTTCCCCCAAAATCAAGCCCTTTTCATTAAGCTCTTTTATGAAAACAGAATGTGGAAATGAACGTAAGTTATTAGGTGAGCTGAATTTCTCACGGCCTGCTTCCTCATTCTTTTCAGCACTTGACCCTATACATCTCATCCAAACAGCCTATTTAATGAGCTGTTACCTTGATGACACAGTAAATAGAACACTTATTAAGTGCAGTCTCCTCACTTGCGATAAAAACGAACTTCTCAGTAGCTGCACACCCTTTCCAGACCTTCATGTTCTTCAGTACTGATGTGCCTTTCAGAAATACCGGAGCGCTTTGCCTGTGGGCACGCTCTCTGACCCACGTGGCGTCCATGTGTTTAAGTCGAGGGTGGGAAAGAATACACGTCTTGATCACGGAAACCTTTATATAGTCAACTCTAAATTATTTTTGCTGATCGAAGTATATAAGGTGAGCTCTCGAAACATTTGCTGCATGTGTCCCTGCAGAAGTGCTAGGTTCTTTAGAATGTGGGAGACACCTCTCTAGGCAGACTTTGGGGGAACTATCAGCACCCCAGCAGACATTTGCTTGCCATCTGTGAAACTGTGCTGTCCGTCTCTGGAAAAGGAGTTTGATGTGAAGTAGTTCTTAAATAGTTTATGTAAACTACCATGTTATTTTTATTTTCTTTTTACCTGTTTGCATTTAATTTAGTCACAGACTTGTGTCTGGGGGGGGGGTGTCTTAAAGATAACAAAGGCCTTCTATGAAAATAATAAATTATCTTTATAGAGTTTATATAGAGAGATAAGAGACAGAGGGAGACACAGAATCCGAAGCAGGCTCCAGGCTCTGAGCTGTCAGCACAGAGCCCGAAGCAGGGCTCAAGCCCCCGGGCCGTGAGATCATGACCTGAGCCGAAGTCGGATGCCCAACTGACTGAGCCACCCAGGCGCCCCCATAGTTTATATTCTTTATCCTGTTGATAGCGTGGCGTCTAGCAGCAGAAAACAAAGTGTTCCCGCACGCGGAGGAGGGAAATCCAAAAACACTCAGGGTTTCACAAAGTTAACAATAGTCCCAGCAGCTCTGGGGTATCGAATTGGTGGCTGATCTACAGCACGCAGTAGTGCTAATCGAGATGGGTCCCTTTGAATAAGCGTTCGAATGCTAGCATCGCTGAGGTCCGTGTGACCCGTTGGGGCTGCGGTGATGAAGACGCGAGCTCTTCCTCGTGTGCATTTACCTGCATTGGGGGATTCTCATGTATGGGGACCAGTGGAGATTTTCCCAGAAGGCCAGGGATACATGGCTCGTTTCATCGTCCTTTGACTGTAATTATATTACCTTTTTACTGGCACGGACTTGGACACACAAGGAATTTGGCTGAAGCTTAATTGGAGAGCTAGGAGAGCTATTCTAAAACGCTTCTTTAACTTTTTTACTGGACCCTTACAGTTTGACATTGTTCAGGTTTAACTTTGTTCTCATTTAAACTTGCGCAAATGCTGAGGAGCTTAATAAAGGTCTATATGATCAGAAAGGCAGCTCTTAACCCAGCATGAAATTCCATTCTCCTTTATTTCTGTTTGCCCACTGCCAAAGAATTCAGACAACTGCATGCTTGACTTACAGATAAATAGAGGACAAAGCTTTGGTCAGTGATTGTGTTTAAAAGATGGGGCTGAGGGGCGCCTGGGTGGCTCCGTCGGTTGAGCGTCCGACTTTGGCTCAGGTCACGATCTCGCGGTTCATGAGTTCGAGCCCCGGGTCGGGCTCTGTGCTGACAGCTCGGAGCCTGGAGCCTGCTTCGGTTTCTGTGGCTCCCTCTCTGTCTCTGCTCCTCCCCCACTTGTTCTCTGTCTCTTTCTCTGTCTCAAAAATAGTAAACATCATGTAAAATGAGTTGGCAAGAGGTGAGGAAGCAGAATATACCATTGCTTTTCCAGTATGTGCTTCCTGATCGTGGGGTCCACAGAGTGGAATTGTGGTAGGCATCCCTGGAGGATGGCATCGGACTGTGGGTGACATTTGTCCTCCTGATCAGGGGTTCCTCTCTGTACTACAGGACATTTCTGAACAAATTAATTAGGTTCTGAGTTTATATAACAGAATCGAAACCCCAGCTCACACTGCTTTTCATGTTCCCAGGCTGCCCACAAATCTTCGATTTTATAAATATTTTTGAAACTGAAGTCTAAATGAGTTTTGTAGTGAGTATTTCCACTTCCTTCCTTATGCATCATGCGTTTTTGTCAAATAGAAAACCTCAGACTTGGTAGACAGTTGAGGCCGTGTGCTGGGGTTTTAATTCTGGTGAATATCCTTTTATAAGTTTTGTGTGTGTGTGTGTGTGTGTGTGTGTGTGCGCGCGCGCGCGCGCACATGCCTGTATTTTGCTGGGAAGAACAATGAGTGAGCCAAGGATAGAGCTCTTTTGCTCTTTCTAACAAAGATGGTGGGAAGAATTCTCTTTGAACCATTAAAAAAAAGAAAAACAAAAAAACAGACCAAGGCAATAATGATAATCAGGTGTCCTGTTCACACTCTGGGTTCCTTTACAGCTGAACGTGATCTTGACTATTAAAAGGAAATAAGCTTTTAAAATCGAATTACGGTAGAACTTTGCCAGTTCATGCCTGACGAATTTGCCCACCCAGTAAGTGGTTCTTCCTGAGATCTTGCTGTTCTCCTACTGACTTGGAGAAAAATGTAACAGTAGACTGGGGGAAAGCTCTACATTCGTTCTTTCAAGGTTTATTTTGAAAAATACAGTGCTGTATCTTAAGATATCATGAACAAAAGAGAACACAAATCTATCTGGCAAACCACGAAGAGAAAGAAAGCATCTGCTGAAAGGCTGGGTTCTATTTTCTTCCTTTGTTTTTTTGTTTTTTTTTTTTTTTAACTGTAGGATGTTTGAAAGAAAACCGCCCATAAATTTTCATGTCGTAAAATAAAATTATAAAAGCAATCAACTGTAGAGATAAGTGTCCGACAGCTTACGTAAGGCTGTGAGGTGGACTTTAGCAGGATTTAGTAATAATTTCATGACAGAACTTTGTTCCATCCTGAAAGAAAGCGATTTTTAACCGTGTTCTGTCCTTCAGCGTGTTGTCTACAGAGACCGCGGTCCGCCCTTTGCAGCGTGAAAGAAATTTGGATTCAGTGTTGGCTTTAGTTCTAAACCTCGCTGGTGGATGCTAACCAAATAGGTATCAGCAGCACCATTGTAGGGGTTTTACATTTTATTTTATTTTAAAGTACCAGGAAGTTCTAGGAAAAGTGTTTTAAACTTCAGACATTCCTTGTATAACTTTTTCCATGGTCTAAATATTCCTATCTTGCTACCAAAACCCCGAAAGGCTCAGATAACTCATGGTTTGTCCCTTCTCCAATTAGAAGAGAGAAGTATCAGATAAACAAAGTCTGCCAGTGTTGCCATGTGCTCAATATAGATTCCGCTTGATTCCTTACACCACATATCCAGGGGTGTAAAAATAAGTGTACAGACAAAAGAAAAGGCTCATAATTAGGCACCGTATCTTGGGTCCGAGTGTAGGTATAATGTAAAGTGTTTGCTATTTTATTCTGAGGATTGACACCTTTCTTCTGCAGCCCTACTAAGTTCATTTGCACGTGCATTTATCTAGATGAGCTGTGAGAATGAACGAGCTGCCTCACTTGTGAACGGTTCCCCGAGTAAATTTGACAGCCAATTGCACGTATTTACAAAGGATCGCTTTGTGTATAAAGTAGCTCACAGTCCAGGTTTTTCTCTGATAACCCTCATCCTCAGGTGCATCTCCAAAGGTGCTGAGTGAGAGGGGCAGTGGGAAATGAATAGTTTTCTCTGAGGAAATCGCTGGTAACCCTGGGTGCTCCTGGATTACAGCCTTGGGGTGCGTGGCTAATACCAGTGTCACGTCTGGATAGGAAGAAAGGTGGAGAACCAATGAGCCCAAAGCATTCCATTTGTTGAATTCTTCGTATTTTGATTACTAGAATCTTTTTTTTTTTTTTAATGTTTGTTTCTTTTTGAGAGAGAGAGAGAGACAGAGCATGAGCAGGGGAGGGGCAGAGAGAGATAGGGAGACACAGAATCCAAAGCGGGCTCAACACGGGGCTCGAACCCACGCACCGTGAGATCATGACCTGAACCGAAG